GGCCTTTTTGCCCTTGGCCTGTCTACATCTAGATGCAATAAACTCTGCCAGTTGCTTGAACTTTGTCCTCCTCCGTGGTCTCAACCGTGCCTCAGTCTGACCTTACAGCTCAGAATCAAAGATGCAGTTGGCTCGGTTCTGATAAACTGAGACCTCCACGGGCATGGAGCGGGCAGCATGATTTACACACACCTTTGCCTGGACCAGCTAGACACCAGCACCCCAGGCTGGTAGGACCCTGTCTGCAGGGGAGCAGCACTGGGATAGTTCATCAAAAGCCTTGGATGCACTCCTGAGCTCCCCATCCGTGAGTTCCTTTGAATCTTTAACCAGCTTCAAATATCTGCAGTCAGTGGGGCAGCTCTACTCATGTAGAGAGAGATGTTGATTTTGCTTTTTATCATTTGTTTATCTGCCCTTAGGGAAGAAGCAGGGAAAGGAAAATAAAGGAATGGACAACTTCGGCAGGGAAATTTATGAGGAGTCGTATGAATCATGAATCGCTCTACTGAAACCCTAGGCTTAAATGCTAACAGCAGGGGTGTGAGATTCAGGCCCATCCACTGGAAGACAAAACACTGCCAACTCTGAAAACACTGGAAAGGTGGGGAATTTGTTACAAAAGCCAAACCATTCACTGTTATTTTTCTGGATGCTGATTTCTTTTCTCTTGAAAAAGTTCTAATTTAAATGGGGTGGAAACAGGGAATAAATGAGTTCCCTAAAGCTACATTCTCATTCATTTTTTTCACTTCTTCCTTCTCTGTGGGAAGCCAGCCATAGCCCACTGGCTTTTTGAAAGACAACATTTGTTCCTATTTAAGGACTGCACATGTTAAACTTGTTTTACCCTGCACGGGAGAAACCCAGACAGCCAAAGATCTGTAGGAGTCAGGTGTTGTTAACTCCATTTTGTTATGTTAAAGATCTGATGTTATCTATAGGAGCAGGTATTGAGGTTACTATGGTAATCCTAGCCCATAATAGTTCGGTCTTTTCCTTTAAAAGGCTGATGCCTGCCTGCAATAAACGTCGCCTTGATCAGACTCTTGTCTTGGCGTCCTTCCTTTCTCTCTGCCCCATCTCCACCCCGCTGCTCTTTCAGGTTTGAGGCACTGCGGGACAGTGCTCTGCGTCGCCGGTTCGCGACACTTCTCCCATTCAGTAAGGCATTTAACCAACATTACTGTTTATAATATACATTGTAATGTTACACCATGTTGTGGTCAGGGTTTGCAAGAGAATAGATTTAATACAGGACTCATAATTTATAAGAGTATTTTATAATATTCACCCAGAAAGTCAAAGGCAGAGGAATGCAAGAGATCTGTCCACACACTAGAGATCAGAAGAACCCAGCAGAGGGCCTGGAACCCATGGCAATGTCCCGCCCAAGTCCAGCTGAAGGCCTAAAGTCCAAGGCAGTGTCCTCCACGAATCCAGCCCAAGGCCAAGAGCCCACAGCAGTGTCTCATGCAAGTTCATATCAAGGAATTTCCCTGAGAGAGGCCAAGGACCAGTGGTGGAAGCTAGAAATCTTGTACCAGTGGGTTGGATGAAGGATCTGTGCCACCAGGCTGAGGGATCTGCACTGGAGCCAGGAAGCGACACTCACGGTGAAGATCAGAGCTTCCCTGAGGAGAACAGCAGCCATCCCCAGCACAGAGAGCCCCCAGCTCCTCCGCTGAAGAGAACAGACAAGTTTGCATCAGGAAAACCAGCCACTGTGGCAAGCTCCTCCAAGAAAATCAACAACCAATGATCTTCCCCTGAAGTTCTCTTTTTATGCCACTGGCAACAATCCTCAGGTGGGTCTTCCTGCCCAGACCACACTGAATCAGTTCAGCTGGGCACTCCAAGTTGACCATTAGTTCACCCACCACACAAGACATGGCTGTGTACTAAGAACTTGACTGGGCTTTGTCCTTGTGTAAGACTTGAATAGGCTAAAGTGACTCCATGCTAATAGGCCAGACTGTGCTTCTTCATATGCTAATTGCTACCTTGGTTAACAGCCCACCCAGGGGCAAATGGTTTGACAAAGGGTGACCGTAGAACATTTCCTGCATAAGATAAGCAATGTGTTTGCAGTCTTGTTCTGTGAATTCCCTGACTCTTTGTTTAGTAAAACCTTATAAAAAGTACCTCAGCCCCTGAGCAGTTGCCTCTCTGAGCCACCTGGCTCCGGGAGTGCCGTCTGGCCAGACTAATAAAGGTCTATTTACCATCTAGCCTGGTGTGTTCCTTCCTGGGTTTCTCGGTTCTCTGTCGTGTTCCCGGAGCCTCGCTGGGTGTTAGGGCCCAGCATCGTGGAGGCCTTTCGGCTGTTCACGCTCCGTGGAGTGGAAGTGAGACTTTAGGTCTTACACTTGATTCTTTAGGATTGTTTTGTTTTTTTTTTTTTTCCCAGTATTAGGAATTGAACCTAGGACCTTTGCATTGAGCTGTATCTTCAGCCCTTTTTTATTTTTATTTTGAGACAGTGCCTTGCTAACTCACCAAGGTGCCCAGGCTGGGTTTAAATTTGTGATCCTCCTGCCTCGGGCATCCAGAGTGCTGGGATTACAGGTGTGCACCACCATGTCCAGCTTCTTTCTTCATATATATTTTTTTTCAGCAATGCTTATTAATTTTACAAAATATTGGGTTCGAACGCAATATTATCAAACATGTATGTAACACATTTTGATCATATCTTTCCTCCACTGTCCTTTCTTATGCTCCTTTCCCTTCCTCTTATCCCTAATAGTCTCCCTGCTACTTTCCTGCCACCTTTTTAGTCCTTGGGATTTCTTGAGTGACGAGTATACGCAACTGAGATAACTCAGGATGGGAAGTGGCCTTGCCAAAAAGACCAACCACGTGGTAAAGGTTGGGGCACTGTTGTGTCGAGTGTCATCGGCCCTGAACACAGAGAGGAGAGGGGACTGGAGACTGAGTTAGCCAGGTGGAAGGTCCCATGAGTCACACCTAAGTAACGAAACTCCAAGAACACTCTGGCCACTGGAGGGCGCTGGGAGGCAGCACTCTGGGAGAAGGGTTACAGGGATGCACTCTTCAGGCAGGAGAGGGTAGCAATGTATCCTGATTCCACGGTGAGAATGCCAGGACCTTCCCAGGCATCATCCTACACATCTCTTTTGACTTCTTTTGATTTGCATCCTTTTTGCTGTAATAAGCTATGATAAAACTGTGAGAAGAGCACGTTCCTGAGTTCTGTGAGTTCTTCGAGCACAACCTGAGTGGTGGTGGCAACTCCCACACTTGTAGCCAGATGCTCAGGGGCAGGGGTGGCCCGGGAACCCTGAGTTTAGGGTCTGAGGCGAGGGCTGTCTGGTGGAAGGCTGTGTTTGCAAACTTCCTGTGCTACAGAGGCTCTGCAAGACCCCAGAGAGCCAAGGATACTCTGGGCTCTGGGACCCTGCACTCCCTCCTGTGAGCAGCCCTAGCTCAGCCTCCTGGCCCGGCCCCCTCTGCCCTCCTCACTCCAGCCTTCCCACTTTGCTTTCTGATATCTCCTGCCACTCAGGTCTCCTGGTCAGCACCCCATGCATCTCCACCCAGTCCCACATCAGTGGCTTTTCTTGATGTCTCTCCAGCGGTCATTCTGGCAGGGCAGCCATCCTCTAAGCATCAATGGGCTAAATGATGCCCTTCCATCCACAAATGTGTGCCTTAAGCCCTACGCACTAGCTATGCCTCACTGCAGTGCATGACCTTGCTGTGGCTCCCCAGTGCCTATAGACTAACACTGCTCAGATCTGAGGTTCTCATCCTCTCCACCCTCCTTCCCACCTCTCCTGCCACTCCACCTCCCCTTTCTCCTTGGACACTGGCATGCAGCACCTCTACTATTCCTAGCAGGCCACCACCTCCTCCAGGTTGCATTCCCTGAATCCCAGCATGGACGTGAGACCAGCATTTGGCGAATATGTGCTGAATGAATACATAGGGAAGAAAGGAGCCACTCCTTCCTCCCGCTCCCAAGGCCTCAGGGTAAAACCACACCGTGCTATTCCAGGCAGACGTTTCACAGGTCCACCCTACATGCCATGGACATGAAGCCCACTGCTATTCCAGCTTAATAGCCCACAGAGCTTCCGAGATGGAGCAAGAGCCCAGATTTCCAGTTCTCCTTCAGAGAGAAGTTGGGACAAGTCAGACCCCATCTTGGGGTGACATCACAGTGACAAGATCAAGCACACTGATGGCTGCAAGTGCCTGGAGAAGCCACCTTGGCCTCCTCCTGGCTTTCAGCTTTTTAGCATCAGAACCAATTTCACAAATGAACCTACACAAATGTCAGAGTTAGCAAAATTTGTAAAAACCCACATCTGTCCTGACACAAGGAGAGTCCAGATTTGCAAAGCACCTCTCCAAAATCCCAGGGCTCCCCAGAACTCGCCAGCACCTGCAAGCTTGGCACCAAGGATGATGGGCCCCAGGACGGGAAAAGCTGGAGAAGCTCCCAGAGCTGCCCTGCTTTCCCCAGTCTTCCCTGTCCCTCCCACCTCCCTGCCCTCCCTAGGCCCCAAGACAGGGCCTAGCAAGCACCCCTTCCTGTGCGGCATCCTTCACACCTCCATTGTATCCCGGGGGAGCACACTTCACCTGGGTTGCAAGGGGTCAGAATTGCACCCAGAACTGATCTCAATCTGAAACAGGAGCCAGGGCTGAGTCTCAGCGCGCAGGCACAGAAGTGGCCTTTAGTCGTGGTTACAGGTCAAGAAGAACAGCCACAAAACTGTGAGTGCTTTGAGGGTCCATCCCTCAGGCAGTGAGCCCCCAGGATCCCTCCTAGGACCTTGGAAACCCGTGGGACCTCCCACACTTGCCCCGGATACCTACGCTCCAGCAAAGAGACTGGCTTCCCTCCCCCGTGGAGTCCAAGGCGGGATCCGGTGGGCTTCAGGCCGCATAAACCCGGGCACCCTGACCACGCATAACCAAAGGATTCGCACGGCACAGCGCCCCTGTGGGCCCAGCGCGCGAGCACTCACCCGGGTGGGGGCGTTCACCACAGACAAGTTGTACCCGTACAGGAAGGAGGAGCCAAAGGCGCCCACGAGCGAGGCTGCCAGGAGGGAGCAGGACCAGTCCTGGGCAGAGAGAGGAGAGCACGTCACAGTGAGCCTGGCAGAGCCTGCACTGTCCCCTAGCTGGGGAGAGGATGCTAGAGGGGGAATCGGAGAGGCTGCGCCTGGGGCCTGCAGGCAGGATTTCCGTCTAGGTCCCCAGCAACCCACCGGGCTGCAGCAGCGTCCCCGCACACACCTGTACTCGGTGAAGCGCTGTGAGAAGCCGCATGCCCTGACTTTAGACAACAGCATCCAGCTAAGCCGGAGGGAGCCGCCCGGCTGCACCGACACCCACAGGGCGCTCCCGCCTAGCTTTCTGTCATCCTCTCTCCTGTCCTATCTCCTCTGTCCCTCCTTGGTGGTGGTGGTGGGGCACGGAGCTGTCCGTGGGGCTACCTGGGATGGGGCCTGGGGCCCGCGTTGTCACAGCTGCCGGTCACTGACCTTTCCCACCTCTGACTCTTCAGCTGCCTGCCTGTAGGGAGAGCCTGAGACTCCCCGGGGCCACACGGACACACGCCTGCCATGCACGCACGGCGCGCATGCGCACGCCCGCCCGCCACGCACACATCTGCATGAGCACGCGCACTCAGGCATGGCTGCACGCTTTCTTCCTGGCTGAGGCATAGCCTATAGGCTGGTCTGAGCTCCCCTGAACCAGAACCTGAAGATCCACACGGCCTTATGCGGAGGGTCACACAGCTCTGGCCCCAGCCTAGGGTGCCTTAGCCAGCACGGGGTGGAAACTCCTGGGCCCCGTAGTCCCTGCTGACCAGCTGGCACAAGAAGGCTGCAGAAAGGCCCAGTAGCCTAGGCTGGGCACATGGGCCAGGCGGAGGACCAGGTGCCCTGGGAGCCTGAGTCAGACACCCACTGCTTGGAAGGCGCCTTGGAAGGTAACACTGGTCTCCCATAGAAATTTCTTTGCCCACGCACCCTCTTAGCTGGGCCCGGTGTCTGAGGGCTTCGCCCCTGGCTGTGTGATCTGAGCAAAGCACCTGACCTTTCCAAGCCACAGGGCTCTTTGTAAGGGCCCCAGATGTCACTGGCACTCAGAACAGTTCCCTCTTCTTTCTCTCCTCTCCCATGGTCCAGCTGTGCCCAGGTGGATGTGCCAAGGTCTCCACCTTATTCCCTGAAGTCTCCTCTGACAGGCTTTCTCACATCTGAGATCCAAGGCCAAGGTCTCCACCTTGAGAGATGTTTTTACATTTCTTTCTTCAGCTCAACTTCATCTCGTCTGAGCCCCGGCTCCACTACTTAGGACCGTGGCACCTCTGGCTAGTTAGGTGGCTGCTCTGTGACTTTTCCTTGTCCACCTTACAGAAGGCTATGCCTCAGAAGGGAATTAAAGGCCACTGGGTGTTGGGAGACAGCCTGGCTAGGGGATGGACACACACACACACACACACACACACACACGCTGAGTGCCAGCAAAGCCGCTGGGCTCACTGTCTGGGGGTGGGGCGTGCTTCTTTCTCACCCTTTCTGGGCTGTGCACCTGTCAGTGGGACAGAGGGCCCGGGGATGGTTTACAGCCAGGGGATGGCACTACCCAGTGAAATGGGCCCAGATGGCCTCCTGCAGGGGGAGGGACTTGCTCTGACCAGGGTTCATTAATTGAACCAAGTAAGGCACACTGTGTCTCTGTGCTGTCACCCTTTAAGGTCACCCTCTGGCCCCAGCCCACAGGGCACCTCCTACAAGCCACTGGCAGCAGCTGAGCTCTCGGCTCCACACCACCCTGGCTCCCTGCCCTGATCACCACAGAGCAGGCCACAGGACTGGAGCTCTGTACACTGTGCTAGGTCTTGCCAGCGGCTGTGCCAGCAGCCTGCCAAGGGTGGAAAAGAGCAGGTGGGCACCATCTCCTCTGCCTCAGCCGCTCTCCTCTGTGTGCCCACTGTCTCTCTACCTCCGGCTGGGGAAAAGGTGACTGTTGCTGCCCATGCCATGCCCTGGGAAGGGAAGCAGGGGTCACTCCGGGGCACGAATGTGTCTGTTCTCCAGAAGTCTTCATGCCCTGTCCACGGCCTGCTGCCAGGACGCTGTTGGCCCAGTAACAGAAGACACAGGATCTGGGGCTCTGGGCCAGTGTCACGTGGGTGACAGTATATGACTTAAACGCAGGCCCCTCTGACTCAAAGCCAGAGGCCCTGCAACCTAGCGGCTGCAAACTGAGGCCTGTCCCTCATCAGCCACCTAAGCGGGCCTCCCACAGCCCACCCGCTAGGATGGCGAGAGACCACAGAGTGATTACCTTCCTTTTCCTCCCACCCGGCAGGCCTTGGCTCCCCCTGGGGCGGTGGCAGTCAGGCTGCTCCCTTCCTGATCCGGAAGGCCCAGGGCAGCTGGTGTCAGATGTCAGGAGAGCAGGGCTCAGGTCCTTGAACTCCATGCTCCAGTTTCCCTGATGCCTGGATGGGCAGGCAGGGACCCTGGACTCTACCGGGACATCTCCGTGGAAGAGAGGCACACTCCACAGGTCGGGGGGCGGGTGCTCACACAGGAAATGTGGCAATTTGTTCTTGCCTGAACAGGAAACACAGCGTTTTCGTCCCTGCCCCTAGGTCAGTACAGTAACTGAAAAGTCTTAAAGGAAAACTTCTCCTCCTGTGAGCTGTACACAGAGTAGGGACTTTTTCTTTCACTGTTTCCTTGCCAGTGTTCTTTCTGGAGGAATAACCCAAGGAGGCCTTCTACAACCCAGCAGAAGGGAGAGGTTGCCGGCTTTGCCTCCTAGCCTGTGGTGGGGTGGCGTCTCCACGTTTTATCTTTGTGTCCTCAGGCAAGTCATGTGACTTCCTTGAACTTTTGTCTGACCAGTGCCAAATAGGGTATCGATTTCATCCTACTCATCTGGCAGGGTTGTGAGACCCAGTAGAAAACAGGCAGCCCCTGGCAGTACACAGGAAAGTGTCTGCAGCCCCAGTGCAGATTCAGAGGCTGTGGGTTTGGAAGAAAAGGAGACACCTCTTAATCACAACTGTGTCATGCTCGCTCAACCTCAGCCAAGGGGAAGAACTCTGTGCTGGCCCAGGCTAGCCCAGGACCTCATGTGCACCCTGACACAGCAGAATTAATTCACTGCATGGTTGATTGGCCTCAAATGTTGGAGAAGCAGCTTTGGTCACAGCTAGGACAGGCTACTTCTGCTGTCCACTCCCAGAGGCTGGATAGGGACACAGGCATGCTCGGTCCATGCAGAAGGCTTCAGAGGGAAGGGCAGGGTCCAAGTTCATACCAGGAGACAGAGAAGCCTGAAAACTGGGTGTAATGGAAAGCACACATTGAAACAGCTGCGAGGGTGCTGCAGTTTGGGATGTGGTGCAGGTGAAGTATGCAGAGATAGCAGTGGGACACAGGCTCCTGGGAGCAGATGGGGACCACACTTCCCACAAGAAAGCCAGCTTCAAAGGTCAGACCAGGTGTGGACAGAGCAGCGTGTCTCCCAGCGCGTCAGTGAGCGGCAGCTCTGGGAGCCCTGGCTGTTTCTTTAAACTGCATTAGTATTTTTTTGCAGTGCATAGTCACATTCATTGGTTGGAGACCAGGCTTCGAGATAAAGATGAGATGACCAGGCCTGCACATTTTCCCAAAGGACAAGATAAGTGGTAACACCAGGCCCGATGAGTCTCACTAGACATCACCCTGGTGGGTGACCAAGACCCCTGGACCCATTACTTCCTAGAAAAAGCCTCTGTTCTTTCCATGCACGCTTGTTATGTGACTTGTTCCCCCACTGCATCACTACTGCCTAAGTGACTGTATTTGTAACCTCACTGGTTGATCAGAGCTTTAACCCGTGATGTACACATGTGGTTGTGCTCTATAAGACTCTCCCTGTAAAGCAGGGGCCTCAGCTATCCAATAGGGACCCCTCCTGCCTCTCAAGAGCTTTCCTCTCAATAAATATTTTCCCACTCTTAACCTCTGTTGTTGTAGAATTCAGTCTTTGATTTTAGAGAATATGAACTGGGCGTATCAGACATCTAACAGGTTGGGAGATGTATTTTAATGTGTCATCTCCTGTTTTAACATGATGACTTTAACTCTTCCAGGAACATATGAGGTGTAGCTGGGTAAGTGGAATTTCTAGTTTTAGTTGTTTGAGCAATCTCTATCCCGACTTCCACAGTGGTTGTACCGGTTTACATTCTGACCAAAAGTATAGGAGGGTTCCTTTCTCCAGGCAACCTTGTGCTGGCTCTTTGTAGTTTTCAGTCACTTGGCTGACCCCCTCCCGAGCTGTGTCCCATGGGGGCTCCCTGGGATGTCATGGAAAGGCTTGGAAATGGTGGCTCGGAGGGCACTGGCAGGATAGTGAGGCAGAGAGGTGTGTGACTGGGAAGGGCGTGAGCGGAGAGCGTGGGGCCAGGACCTGTGGGGACCCGGGGCTGGTCAGTGTGGGAAGTGACGTGCTGGAGCATGGAGGGGCAGGGACAGCCACATCCCGATGCCAGCCGATGGGGACTTGATAGTCATCACCTCGGTTCCTCCCCTCACCCTACTGCCATGCTTCCCCCTTGACCCTGTTCCTCATCTGTAGCAGTGGTTCCCCTGATCGTGCTAAGACTCAGACTGGAACGGCTGACCCCCCAAATTTAAAGTGGCTCTGAGCTGGGCGTGGTGGCGCACCCCTGTAACCCCAGCACTCGGGAGGCCGAGGCAGGAGGATTGCTGTGAGTTCCAGACCAGCCTGGGCTACATAGTGAGCTCCAGGTCAGTCTCAACTACATAGTGAGACCCTGTCTCAAAAACACCAAAAAAAATTAATAAATAAGTAAAGTGGCTCCACAAATCTCAAAAGGTGCCAGAACCCGAGTGGTCAACACAAATGGCGTAAAGGAAGAGGGAAGAGGGCAGGTCCCTGCATGAACCCCATGACAGCTACCCAGGGTCCGCACCACCAGAGCAGCCTGCCTGCCCTCTCATCTCGCATCTGCTTTCTGCACGTGTCCCATCCCAAGTCCTCTGTGCTCCCTTCGGCCCAAGGGGCTAAGTTAAGGGAAGAACCGAAGCTCAGGGACAATGTGGCCTGGGATCTGTGCTCTGAGGTGGACCCGGAGAAACCTAACTCTGATCACAGACATGGTGATGGAACCGATGTTCCTGTCTGGGGCACACTGAGCTGCTCCAGCGCTCAGCCTCCGTTCACACATCCACTTATCAATATGTCCTGAGCTCCTGCGCATTCAGGTTCACCTGGCCCTGTGCTCTAACCGCCTTTGATTTACTGATCTTGCAGGGCTCGGCTCCCTGACCTCCTCCTCTCGACACTGCCCTTGACCTCTTCCTGCTGTTTCTGTGTTCCACACCTTGGAGGGCAGGGGCTATGTGCATCTTATGGGCTGAATTGCATCCTCCAGATTATACCATTAGTTGGGTCCATGTCCAATGTGAAAAATATCCTTACAAGATGACTGAAACAGAACTTAGAGGAAAAAATCAGTCTTCCTAGCTGAAAGCAGTCTCCCCTTACTTCTTGCACAGATCCCCTGCAGCTGCCAATCACAGTCCAGAGACATCCCAGGTTCTTAGGAATCTGCCTCCCTCCAAGGCTGACTTCTGCTCAGGTATTGATAAGAAAGACAGTTATGTTCCTGAAAACAGTCTTAGGACATCTCAGAGACTGCTTTGTCTCAAGAGATACAGATAAGTTTGACTCTGTGTTCCTGTAAACAAGGCCCATCACCTCCTGAAATTATGCCTGTATTGTTTCAAGGTTAATGCGTCAAGCTGTCACTAAGTGAATAACTGTCTTTGTCCCATTTTGTGCCAACCCCCTCGACAAATGTATGAAAATGGATCTTCTCCTTTGTTCATGGCCTGGCACGTTGGATATGCATTTGGCTGAGTCAGGTACACACCTAATAAAACCCTCCTGTCTCCTAGTGGTCTCTCCCGTCTCCTGAATTCTGCAACATGACCACATGCAGATTCAGGGAGAAGATACCATCTGTAAGCCAAAGAGAGGCTTGGGGGAACTGATAGGACAGAAAAAATAAAACTAGGTAGAAAGGAGACCAGGAAATTGAGAAACTAAAATTCTACTTTTAAGAAAAACTGCCGCTTCAAGACAAGCTCTTTTCCTGCTTCTGAAGGCCACCCTAGTGTGAGACACACCCCCTCTTCCATTCTTACAGAGAATAATGTCACAGTCCAAAAGGCCCTTTACAATAACCTGAACATTCTCAGGCAATAGACCCTTTTCACCTGAAAACTGACTTTTCCTCTAGCCCAGAAAGCAGCTGCATTGGAGACATATGTCAGCACCCAGATCTCTACTTCAGACTCGTGTAGATGGCGTATGCTGTAACCCGGCAGTCAGTGAGAATTACACATCTAAGGTCACCCATATGGAGATAGCCTTTAAATGTGCCCTGCCCTGGCTCGTAATGCATCTCATTTCTTCGAGCACCACACTTGCTTTTCAGCGCATCCTATATGTCTCCTTAATGAATCCTTCTCCTGCCTCTTTTTCTGATGCTTCCTGAAAATTCCTTTTTTGTGATGGGAGCCATTTAACCTGCATGCTTATTTTAAAGGGGTGGGTTAAGTTCCTTATCTCAGCCTTGGGGACCCTCAGACCCAGCCAATAACAGAAACAGCCCTGAGCACACCTGGGTTTTAGACCTGAGGCTAATACAGTGCTTCTGCTGTTTAAGCCCCATCTGGAATTTTGTCACAGCTGCCCCAGCACTCTGCCCCAGCAGACTCTAACTGTCTCCTCTGTGAGGTCCCAAGCCTAGAAAGTTGGCTAAGAGAAGGTGAACATTTTCTAGCAGAAAAGGCTTAGAAGAAAGGAATTTTCTACCAAATATCATTTAAGTAGGATACTATCTTTCATTACATCAAATACCAAGACATGGATCCTTGCCTCACCTAATATGAGCACCAAGCAAAGACGCAGTGTCCAGGAAGAGGAACTGCTGTCTATGTAACATGGTTCTTCATGCCCTTGGGTAACCTGAGGCAAGTGGCTTCACTGACCTGACTTTCAGCTCACATCCTTGTGAGGCCAGTGCTGTTTCCACTTCCCTGGCAGTTTGTGTAGGGGACCTGTGTTGATCTTTGTACTGCCAAATGCAGGGTCACTGCAAACCTGGACCTGTTTTCTTCCAAGTCACTATTGCCTCCAAGCTCATCCGAGAAAGGAGGTGCAAAAAGGCCATCATTTGATCCTACTGAGACGCAGAGCTTTGGCCAGGAAGCTGCAGCCCTCTGTGTGCCTCAGTTCCCTGCCTGGGAGATGGGGTCAGTGCTGCCTTTGCCCTAGAATGACCAAGAGAACCAAATGGGAAACTCACCTAGGGATCCAGCACAGTGATCACTCGGGCTTTCGTTCCTGAATCTGACTTTAGAGAGAGGACATGAGGAGCCACGAGCAGGCTGAGAATCTTTGTAGTTACCAAGGGCTTCCTAGAGGAAGAGGCAGGGGGAACAGTGGAGGGATTTGGGTGCACCCTAAAGGACTGTGACCTGATTATTGTCAACATCAACTTCCCTGATTAAGAAATGACCTCTGGAATAGCGGCCCCTGCCAAGTCCTGCAGCCCAGCAGCAGATCAGTGCTGCAGACACCATGCATGTCTGGAGCCCCATCCTGTTGCCCCACAGTTCACACAGCCCCTTCCATAGAACTTTGCTTCTTGTCACTGCTTGCTTGACTCTTTCCACCTTACCCCAGTCCTGCTTCCCCTGGTGGCGGGAGAGCGGAGGGCAAGCACAGGCTGTCGGGGTTACTGGGAGGCGCTCACAAGGGAGGGCCCAGGACCAGGACCTACCGCTTTCTTTCTCTCCAGCTCACTTTCTCTATGTTCCGCAGGGTCCGTTTCACTGAGCTTCATGGTTTACGTTCCGGATTGTGGGCGTCCTGTCGTTCCTGAGAAAGAGAATAAAAAAGAAGCCATTCAGCACTTGCTGCGGCAAATGGTAAGTCACTGGAGATGGCCCGGGGAGGTTTCCTGGAAGGGACACTAGGCAAGGACACCAAGAGGAGACACAGTAGTGTCCTCACTGGGACTCCGGGTTCCCAGACACCAGGGCTCTGCTCTGCTCTTTCCTGGCCTCAGTCTCCACTTACATATGGGGTTAGGTTCTCTCTGCCTTTCCTGCGTTTGCTTCAGAGCTTGTTAAATACAGACTGTTCCCTGCAGTGTTCTCGTCAGAAGCTCTTGCTTACAAAGGGGTGTGTTTTGGAAACACCCAGTCTTGTCTGCAAGAGGTGACAATGACACCAGTGTAAGTTATCACAAAGTGTCAATCTCACCTGTCAAGTTGAAACAATCACCAACAATAACCTAAGTCACCAGCGTGGTAGAAGTAGAAATTGCACAGGAGTTTTGGAATCTGGGAGCGTGTTTCTAGAACCACAAAAGTATTTGTACCCTTTGGCCAAACTACTCCATTTGTAAAAATATATCATAAATCAGGAATCAAATGTGCACAAAGATTTAAGTCCAAAATGTCCATGGCCACACTTTTTCACATTAGAAAAACGATATTCACAACAGGAAAGTGTACCTAACAGGGAGGTTTGACCACACTATGGTACGTTCATATGATGGAAATTCATGGACCCTCTCAAAATTATCTTACACAAGATCATTTGACGTCAGGAGACAAATGCTCAGAGTAAATTCTTACTTGACAAATAAAGGAAGATATATAAACAAATATGCATTATTCAACATTAAAAACAGATGTACTTATTAGCCAGGTGTGGTGGCACATGCCTGTGTTCCCAGCATTCAGGAGGTGGAGACAGGGTAATTACTAAGAATTCAAGGCCAGCCTGGGCTACATAGTGAGACCTGTCTCAAAAACAATAAGAAAAAATGCAGATGCACTTGTCAATAGATTTACACTGCTAAACATTATATGTTCTTAAACCATGTGCATCTTTTTGCTTGCACCTAAAATGTAATAGTTTTACATTGTTATTTATTCAACAAATATTAAGCCCCTACTGTTGTAGATTACAGGAATATAATTCTGAACCAGGGAGCTCTCTTTCTGCCTCAGAGAGCTGGTGTTTTAGGGGCAGAGATGGTTCAGAAGCCCACATGGACTGCTTGTGGGCACAAGGAAGGTAAAGGGCTTGCCCAGCACTGGGGAGGACAATGGGGTGATGGGGTACAGAGAACAGGGATGGACATGTTTGTGTGCATACGATGTAGACTGGCAGGAACAAGCCAAACGTGAACTCTACTTCCCCCTTGGCTTTGGTATTGAGACCAATTTTCATCTTATTGTTTTTCCATTGCTTCCCAGTTTTCTCTAATACTGCAATAACTAGAAAAACAAGTTTTTAAAACTGCTTCCATTTTTTGTTTTGTTTGGTTTGGTTTGGTTTTAAGAATAAAGCCTTTAAGATCTCACAGAGCAAAGCAGAGTACAAATGACATTTGAAAGTCTGCTTCCTCACTCTTCGAGAACATACAGCTCTCGTTGGATGTGGGGCTCTGAGCTGCATGGGGGTGCCCACGTCACTTCAGCAGCCTGCCAAAGGTGGGCTTCCGGTGTAGCACTGGAGGCCCTGCCCCAAGGAGTCATCCCCAATTCTCCGGTCCTGGTCTTCATGTAGGGGATGCTCCGGCCCTGCGCCTGTTTTCCTGAAGGTCCTGCAGGCCTCTCTGCTGCTGCCCCTGGTATTCCAGCTCCTGCTCTAGAGGGCTCTCTCCTTCCTGCAGCACTTTCCAAGATCCCTGCAGAGTCCTACCTGGTTCCTTCTGGAAGTCTCCCCACATCCTCAAGCCCACCCCGCTAGCCCAGCAGGAATGCAATCGATTGCATGTTTGTGTCCTCATCAGTGATGGCGCCTCCCTGTGACGGTTCACTTTATGGGTCACCTCGCTAGGCTATGACCGCTGTCACTTGCTAGGTTGTTGCTGGGAAGATGCTTTTTTGATATGGGAAACATTTGACTTGAGCAGAACAGATGGCCCTCTAGCTTGTGGGTGGGCTGTACCCGGTCAGTGAAAGACCTTCAGAGAAAAAGTGGAAGTCCCCTGAAGAGGGAGGGGTCCCTCAAGACTGTAACATAAACCAGGCGTGGTGGTGCACCCTTGGAGGCTGAAGTAGCACTGTAATTTTGACACCAGCTGGGGCCCCTTAGTGAGACCCTGTCTATAAATAAATAGGGCTGGGGCTGTAGCTTAGAGTATTTCCCTTATTTTTTTCTACTAGTTTTCCAATTTCCTATGTTGAAAATACTGCAGTAACTACACAAATGAGGTTTTTTTTAATGCTTTAAATTTTTTTAAAACTTTTTTTTTCCAAAAAAATAACATTAAGCCTGTAGTCTCAAACAGACAGAGTACAAATAACATTTGTACTTTCTGCTTCCTACACTCTGCAAAGAAACACAGTTCCCACCAGATGATGGAGGTGAGGCCTGGGGTTTGAATCCCTACTACCAGGGAAAACAAACAAACAGACAGACAGACAAAAACACAACAACATAGAGATTCTGCTGTTTCCAGACTTTGGAACAAGACTACAACACTAGCAATGCTAGAATTGGCAGCCTGCTTGCTGTGGGTTTGGGGTTTCTCAGCCCTCGCAATTACAAGAGCCTGTTCCTTAAAATACATCTAGGTCAATGGATAGATGGGTAGATAGGACCTACATGCAGACATGTTGGGGACCCCAACTAACCCACCCCTCGCCCCTCACACACGAGCACCCTGGTACCTGCCCCACTTCTGTGTCCGGGTGGCAGAATTTCTGGCTAAAGAGAGGCCCGGTGAGCAGCATGGGTGGGCTGGGTGGAGCAGAGAAGAAGCGGTGAGGCAGTGGGGCCAGAAGGGAAGGTAGGGGACAGATGAGGCCAAATGACCATGGCCTTGACACCCGGGGCTTGTTCCGGTGCTGGTTTATTTACGTGGCTGTCACTGAGCAACACCAGGAACTGCCATTCACATCTGTGATATCAACATCGCCCTGGAGTTATACAGCGCAGTGGTCCTACAGGTGCCTGAAGATGACCACATTCTCCAAATGGCTAAGGAACCACAATCTGAAAAGACAGGAGCAGGGGGGCAAGGGCACAGCTGCTGGCATCAGAAACCTGTGTCCCAGTGTTGGCTTTGCTTGTGTGACTAAGGAGAGTTACCAAACCGGAAGTCCAGTTACCCTTGTCTCTTATGGCCATTGCCAGGTGAGGGACACTGCATTGAAAAGGCCCTGGGAGACCCTCAGCCGATCTTTGGTGTCCAATGAATGGCACCTGTCATTCACGGAGCTGTGAAAGCCTCAGAAAAGTAACAAATCTGGGAGTGGGAGGACATGAAGAATTTTGTTTAGAAGTATCAAGCTTGAGATGTTCACGGGCCATCAGAGTTTAAATATTGTTTGAGCAGCTGGAAATAAAAGTGTTACTCAAGAAGGTTTTGGCTGGGAAGGAATTCAATGGTGATGAATACTGCAGGACTAGGTAGGTTCATGGGGGGAGAATGGGTAGAAAGAGCAGACCCTAAGGAACCAAGAGAACAGCTTAACAGCCCAGCCTGGTGGGCTGTAGGATGGTGCCAAAGGTCCAGCCATGGCTCAGAGGTGGAAGAAAGACGGTGGGTGTGCAGAGCTTCCCCTGGAGCCTGGCATTTGAGAACAACTCGGACGCAGTTCCAGCTGTGGTCTTTTGTTGGATACACCGCACCCATGCTCAGTCGGAACCACCAGAGCAAGGTCAGAGCGGGTGAACACATGAAAGGAGGAGGAACGAGAGCAGAAACGGTGTGGGGAGAGAGCAGGGCCTGCGGTGGACAGGGTGCTCAGCCAGCCCCAAGGAGCCAGCCTGGACCAGTGCTCTCGCTATCAGGCTATCAGCCTGCCCAGGACGGGAGACGGACACACCCTTCCTAGCCAAAGGGTTGCAAATGAGGAGCATCACTGGCACCTGGATGTGTGGGTGCTGGGCTGTGCTTCTCTCTCATTCATAGCCTCCTCTGATCTTCTGCTCCCAGACCAGTGGGGCAGAGGAAGAGCTGCTGAGTCAGTAAGACTCACTGCTCAGGGAGCACCCCAGCTTCATACGGGGAAAGAACAGGATGGACCCATGGGGCTGTCGGGAGGAAGAGGTGAGCTCCCTGGGTGAAGCCCATGTAAATGAGCAAGGCCCACGGGCCAGCACGACTCTTTCCATTCACAAGGCTTGGGGTTTCCCTGGGGAACCCTAAACTCCCTCAAAATGATGTTCTGAGGCTTCAATAGAATAATAAACAAAACTAAACAACATGCATAAAATAAATAAGCTCCATGCATGGCTAAGACTCAAAGTATGGCAGCTCCCTGTCTTTCCTACCCTCAGTGACAGTGTGAACAGTGAGGCCGTCCCGGATGTGAGCTCTGCCAGTGCCCCCACTGTGGCAGCGCCAGCTCCTAAAGAGCAGCGAGCCACTATACCCAGCAGCATAACCATCAGCCCCAGCCCCCTGGACGCCCATCTGACCCCTGGGCAGCCCACAGCCCACTCTGCCAGGCCTCTCCAGCACGCAGCAGCCACGGGGTGAGTGACCAGGGCAGTGCTGGGCAATCTGATTGGCTCCCAGCCTGGCTGTCCTGGACTAAATATTTAGACAGCTACCTCTGTTATCACTGCTGCCAGTGGTGACAAAACCCTGTATCCGATTCTATGCTGGGTGGAGAGGAGAAACTTTATCCACATGGCCGGCCACGGAGCTTGGACCAGCACCCAGATACCGCAGCCTGTGCTTGGTGCAAGGTGAAAGCCAAAAAAGGGACACAGCCAGCCTCAGTTTGCCACCAAAGGCGGGTACCTGTTAGAAATGGACTTTTCTCCCTTCCCCGGCTGGGCCAGCAGGACTAAAGTCACTGCCTGTGCTCTGTCTCTCTAACATGCGGGCACTGAGCAAAGTTGGGGGGCTCCAACAAGGTGCTGGTGGGTAGCCCTGAATGGAGAAACCCACAGCATACCTAAGCCCCAAATTCTCCAGCACACGAACACTGTTCGCATGTTCCAGGCTGTCTGGCGATGTTAGCATGGATTAAAAGTTAATTCTAAAACATAAACTAAATGATTGTGCAAAATAGGGAAGGTTTGATGGAGAGCTTCCAAAGGAGGAGAAAGGGAGGGGAAAGAGAGGGCCAGGAAGGGAGAGAGGAGGGAAGGAAGGAAAGGGGGGAGGAAAGGAAAAAGAGAGGGAGGAAAAGGAAGGGAAGAAGAGAGGAGAGGGGAAAAAAATCTGTGCGGGGCCAGGATGTAGCTCAGTGGTTCTGCTGCCTGCCCTGCAAGTGCAAGGACCTGAGTTCGATCCCTGGTACCAAAAAAGGCGGGGGAGGAGAGGAGGATCCAATTACAGGACACTGGAATAATAATTGCAGCTATCATTCCTCCTAATCAATTTCATTTTATATTAACATCTAGCAGACAGCACAATAAGTACTTTCTGTTCCTCTCCTCACTTAACCTTCCCCAGAAGCCTAAGAAGCTGGCTTTCAAATTCCTGTTCCAGCTGTACTGTAAGTCCCAGTCGTTGAAATCCTCCCAGAAGCAAACCGGGGCTGTAGAAACTCACCTGAGCCCTGGCACCTCCCTGGCCCAGTCCAGTCTAAGGAGCAAGCGGAATATGCCTTATAAATAAACGACCTCCCACTATAGTCAGATGTAAACCCGGGGGACGTGAAGCAGACTTGTGACGCTGGACAGGTGGCTCCTTTGGAAAGGGGAAACAAGGGCTGGTGGCCTCAAGGTCATGGGCTGTAGATCAGATGACACTGTGCCCTTGGACTTTCTACCCCACGGCAAGTGCCTGGCAAATATTTTGTTTTATGGTCATTGGGAAATCTCTATCATCACTTTACTTTCTGCTTGTTATTTATTCTGAAATGTTATGGCACCTGCTGCTATGTACCCAACACAGGTACTGAGAAGGCTGCAAAGGAAGGTGAGCTGTTCCTTCCACCCACAGATTCACGGTGTAGTGGAAAGAAGGAGCCGACAGAAGGGCAATACTGTTAGCCAACACCTCCTTATGCCAGGCATGTGCTGTGCATACTGGAAAATTTGACCACTTACTCAAAGCATTATGTCTGTGGGTGAGAACTGAGGTTTAAAGCAAGGCCCCTGCTGTCCCCTCTCTCTTCCCCACTCCTGTCCCTGTGGCCCTCATCAGGGGCAGCCCCTCATCAGGATGGGACAAGCCCGGGACTCAGGGGCCTCCACGTGGGCTGTGTTTCTCTGTGTCCCTTTCAGCAGTCCAACACCAAGCATCCTCAGTTTGGAGGACTCTCCCATCTGTGGGCCTGGGGGCCTTGCCCCTCTCCCCTTGAGGGTCCCCTCCATCAGTGACCCTTCAGTCCATCAGTTCATCTTCAGAATCAACAGTTTCTCCCTCTGTTGTTTCCTTCCAGGCTGTGGGGGGAAATGTCTTGGTATTACCCACTAAAAAAGAAAACTAAGATATTGGCAAAGAAAATTGGAGCTTCACATATTACTATCGTGAAAATGGAATGGCTTAGCCTCTGAGGAAAACAACTTGGCAATTCCTCAAGCAACATACATAGAAGGACTCTATGACCCATCTGTTCCACTCAGAGGTATGTATACCCAAAAGAGTTGAAAGCAGGTGTTCAAATAAAAGCTTGTATAGGGGTGTTCATAGCAGCATTATATACAAAGCTCAATGGTAGAAATAGCCCCAGTGTCCACCATGGGATAAGAAGATAAACAAAATATGGTCTGTGGATGCAGTGGAACATTACTTAGCGATAAAAAGTAATTTCATACTGGCATATTCTACAATATGGATGAGCCATGGGAACATTATGCAAAGTGCAAGAAGCCAGTCATAAAAAGTCCCCCTTGTATGATTTCGTTCATATGAAGTGCCCAAAACTAGCAAACCCAGAGGCAGGAGCAGATGAGTGGTCAGGGCGAGCAGAGCAAGAAATGGGTGCAACTGATTTAACGTGTAACTAGCTGCCCTTTCGGAGGAAAGAAAAGGTTTGGGAAGTAGATAGAAGCAGCTGTTGTACAATAACTGAATGTGCTAATTGTCTATGAAACCTTCACTTTACAATGGTTAATTTGCACCATGTGACTTCACCTCAGAAAAAAAACAACTTCACTTGACACAACAGCTTCCTTTTAGCGTCCCACTTTTTCCTGCTTCCAGTTACAACAAAACGATCCTAAAGAGACCACATTGTCCCCAGTGGTCAACTTCATGTCCCTGCAGCTCTGCCAGTGGTGTTTTGACCCAATGTGCTGCTAGAATTTGTCTTGCTGAGGACACCAATGATCTGCATCCCGCCACAGTGAGCTACACACCCAGCAGCTTTGACAAAGCCCATTCTGGGTCCCTGGCTTCCATCCACCAGAGTTTTCTCCTCCTAAGCCTTCTAATGGAGACAATCCCAGGCTGACAGCCAAGCCCCCTTCTCTTCTTGGTCCACACTCCCTCCATGGGTGAGCCCATCTAGACCCATGGCCTTAGAACCACCCTTGCTACAGCATCTACTTCTCTGTCCCCAGCTAGGTCCTCTCCTTAGGGATCGAGACTCTTGTCCATCCACCCTGTCAGTGCCCTTCCTTAACTAGGAAGCTTCCCGAACAGAACAGGTCCAAATTAAGATTGGTCTTCGTGTTAGTCAGCTTTCCTGTTGCACACACAGTACCTGACACCCACATCTTAGAGGAGGACGGGTTTGTTTGGCTTACAAGTTCAGGGGATTCAGTCCATGGTTGGCTGGCTCCAAGGGAGGAACATCATGGCGGAAGGGTGTGATGGAGAAAGCTGCTCAGTTCATGGTGGCCAAGAAGCAGAGCAGGGGAACAGCATCAGCCAGAGAGGCAGAGCCAGTGACCAGAAATATTCCCAAAGTCGCACCTCCATGACCCATCCAGACATGCCTAGAATTGAGCTCTATTAATCCTCTGCAGGCTCCTGTGCCAATGAAGTTGACAGCCCAGCCTGTCAGTCTTCCTGCCCTGAACCTTTCCACCTTGAGTCTCTCCCTCCCTGGAGCTGACATTGTTTTAGGCCCAAAGCTCAGACACTTTGGTGCCCTCACTTCCCTCCGGCTGTGTATCCAAACCATCGGAGGTCAACACTTCTGCTGTCCACTGTGGCTGGGACAGACAAACCTTCCCTCACCTGGACAGCAGCCACAGCTTCCTGCCCTGTGTCCATGTGGCCAAAGTCCATGTGCCCTGCCTAAAGCCCCAGCAGCTTTTCTGGGCCTCACCCACTTGGTGTTCCCAAGCTCATCAGCACGGGTGACACCATGAAAATGAGCTCCACCCCCAGACCTGAGTTCAAATTCTAGCTCTTCTGCCAACCAGTTGGGAGACATTAGGGGTCACCAGGACCTTGGTGATGAGGCCATGTCTGCCTCTTGTCCTTTCACTCTCCACTCCCTCCCTGCCTTCCACATCCCTGCCCCTACTGTCTTGCTCTCTCCTAGCACCCGCACTTCCCAGTGCCAAGGTCTTTGGATGTGCTCTTCCTCCTGTGCAGAAACCTTACCCAGCTCCCTGCAAGCCTGTCTTGTTCAGGTCCTAGGGGTCATGTCCCAGGTTATTTCCTTCCGGGAAATGTCCCTCACCTCCCTGCTGAGCCACACCACCCCATCGAGGGGACCTGCACCCTCTCTACCTCCTCCCTTTCCCGCACTTCCCAGTGCCAAGGTCTTTGGATGTGCTCTTCCTCCTGTGCAGAAACCTTACCCAGCTCCCTGCAAGCCTGTCTTGTTCAGGTCCTAGGGGTCATGTCCCAGGTTATTTCCTTCCGGGAAATGTCCCTCACCTCCCTGCTGAGCCACACCACCCCATCGAGGGGACCTGCACCCTCTCTACCTCCTCCCTTTCCCTCTTCATCCTCTCCACCCAGGCTGTCGTCCTCCTCTTCCTCTTCTTCCTTCTTCCTGTTCCGCTGACAGGAGCTGCCTGGTAGGAACCCGGCAGCAGGCTCAGGTGGCTGAGCTCATCTCCATAACCTTTTGTTCCCAGGGAGACTCAGCACATGGTCAAGATGTCGAAGCTTTGTGGTCCAGACCTGATCACCCTGGGTTTTCCTTGACCCAGTGCCCAGTGCAACCTTGGAGGGACCAACCATGGAAGAGCCTGGGCAGGGAGGGTGCTATTTCCATTTGGTATAGGGATAGGGAGCACCTGCTTGGAGCAGGCCCAGGTGGGATACAGAGAGAAGAGAGGGGCCCGAGGGACAGGTGTGGGGAGCCAGCAGTGTGTGCCTCCGGTGCGGGGAAGGCTGGATGAGCACCCGCAGGGTGGCTCGGCCCCTGCACACCTCTAGAGTCAGGGATGTCCCTCAGCCACCCACAGTCCACAGGAAGTCACTGTTGCCAGGGGAGCGGAGGTCAGCGAGGCAGCTGTGAGTGTCGGACCACATGGCACCAGCTGCTGCTCTGTGCAGCGAGGGAAGGAGGGCTTCCTGGAGGGGCAGAGCCCGCACGGAAGGAAAGCGCCTTCCTCCTAGGGTAGCTCTGCCAGGGCAGGTGGGTTCCCGGGAGACCTCACACCTCACTTCCTGCTCCCCTCACTTAACTTCTAGCAGGCCGATCCCAGGGCTCATCCTGGTCCGCCCTTGTTCCCCGCCACTGGCTTCCTGTCATGGCCCTGTCTTCCCCCTCTCCCTGGCCTTCCTCATTTTCCCCTGGGGACCCCACCTGCTCACCTGCTCCTCTCTGCACCCACTCATGGAACGTCCACCAGCCCGGGGCCCTGGCTCTGTTTGCCGATGACCCCACGTTTAGGTCCCCAGCCCAGACTTGTGACCCACCTTCCCAGCCAGCGCTCAGGACATCATTGCTCAGAGGAACCTCACACTTCAGGGACCAAATGAGGCTGAAGAAGCCACTGGGTCGGCTGCTGGCAGAGCTAGGACTTGAGGACAGGCATCTGTCTGAGCCAGGGTTCCTCCCCTGTGGTACTCAGCGCTCCTCTTGGGGGAAGTGCAAGCATTTCACACTCGGCATCCACGGCCAGCGCCCTGTCCCCTGCACCTTGTTCCTCCACCCTGTCCCTCTCACGGGAAATGACGTCACCACCCCACCTGCTTCCGCCCACAATGCTTCTCATCCTTTCTCTGCTCAGGAGCCCCCAGTAACCACCCTCTCCCAACCTACACCACGTTTGCACCCAGGTTTATAGCCCAGACTCTGTCCTCACACCCACCCCGGTCCTGCCACTCTTCCCTCTGCCCGGATGGACTTGGGATGGTGCCAGCGCCCAGAGAGATGCTAATCGCCAGTCGGTTTCTCATTTCCTCTGCTGGTACTCGTGGCCCAGATGGGTCACAGTTGGTGCTGGTCACTCTCCTGGCTTCCCGGCTCCAGTCTCTGCCCAGCCTCTGCCTGCCCTGGTCCTAGGGGCTGCCCCAGGGATTGCACCACGGTCACAACCCACTCTGCAGCTGCCTACAACCCTTCAAGAGGACAGGAGTGTGGAGGGGAGGACGGAGCTGTCTTCCCTGCCCCTGCTTACCGCAGCCCTGCAGCTCTGACAACAGCTTCGGCTCCCTAGTACAGCCCCCAGAGGACTCCGCCCTCCGCCCTCCTTGTGCCTTTTGCCACGATGGCTCCTCAGCGACCCAGGGGCTTGTCTGTCCCCCATCTGCCCCCCCCCACGTCTTCTGTAAGTCTTCCCTTCAGTCAGGTCCCACGGTTCCAGCCCTGAGAGTCTATCCTCACCCTCCTTCAGCACTTGGATTACAACCTGGACCACAGTAGGTGCTCAAAAATCCACTGTAAATCATTTAATTAGCAGGAGAAAGATAGAAGGGAATTGATATGCTATGTAAAGGAACGAATAGAGGAAAGACAGGGCAAGCGCTTCATGTATCTGAAGGAAAGAACCAGCTAAGTGATGGGCTCTCTCTCTCTCTCTCTCTCTCTCTCTCTCTCTCTCTCTCTCTCAGATGCTAGGTGGGGAAATGAAAGGGATCGCAGGTTACTCTGAACCCTGCTCTCAGCAGCTGAGAATTCCCAGATGTCCCCTCTACTGTGGTCCTCACCCCGAGGCTGAAGATCTCAGGCCTCCTCCCAGCCAGGTGGGTGACATTTCTGAGGTCCCCTCACCTACCCCCATGGCCTGGTCCATCTTTCCAGCCCAGCCGCACAAGCTCTGAGATTGTCAGGGTCACTCTCAGCCCCAAAGCAGCTGAGCCCTTTGCCCTTGTCAGGCAGAGATCCCAGGGCCCAGGCTCCTGCAAGATGGGAGCCGAGTGGGAGCCCGGCTGGGCAGGGCCACCATCTGTAGGCCTGGCTCTTCTGGGCTGCCTGTGCACATGACCTCCGGGAAGCCCACAGTCGTTTCTGTGACTCTGTGACAGCTCTTCCACAGGGGAGATTGGAGAGGCCACCTACATCAGGCAGCCTACCAAGGTGGGCAGTTGCTCTTCTGGCTTGGGCCAGGGCGTGGAGACGGGAAAAACACAGCAAGCAGCACGACTCTACTGAGTATTGGCTGTTGTTCACAGATTGTCCAACCCTTTTCGACATTCACAATGTTTGTAATAAAGAAAAAAAAAACAGAGAATAACAATTACAAGCCCTGAGAGTTGGCCAAGTTTGGGGTCCACCTCTTGCACATGGCACAACACTACACACATTTTCTTGAATGGAGCCTTGCTTTTCTCCCCTATAAAGCTGTACATAAAAGAAACGTAACTTCCACGCTCTGTATCCCTAGAGAGAAGACACACATGAAACTGACACATTGCACCAGTCCTGACAGAGTAAAGCAGCTCATCCTCTCAGGTAGCTGTTTCCAGGCGCTGCTCAGCTCTTACCCCCCACACACGTAATGCCATGTGGTGGCTTCGATCCTCTGCCTACACCCCATGACCCTGCATTTTCCTGTTCCTATTTGTTGTGTCCGTGTCTAGAGGTCCCCCAAAGCTTCATGTGGTCGTGGTAGGCTGGATCCAGAGTGTGTGGCACTCAAATCGATTCATGGCGTGATGTTAGGCTCAAGGGCACTGGGATTAAGGGTGTGAGTGCTGCCTGCCCTAAGTAGCCTGGAGAAGATAAAAGGGGCAGAAAGATGCTGTTGAAGTCCCCTGTTGCTTTGCTGTCTTCTGCCTGCCATTGATTGTTTCTTCTCTGCAATGCCACTCTGCCCCAGAGCCAGCTGATTATGGACCGAAACCTCTACAAACCATGAGCTGAATAAACCTCTCCTCTCCTAACTTTGGGCATCAGGTATTTTATCTCAGCTGAGAAAAGTGACTAAGACACTGTTCCAACACGTTTCCCTCAGCAGTAACAGGATCCCAACGTCAGGTTCCCATGTTTCATTTAGCCAGCTGGTCAGGTAGCTTGTTTCCTTTTCCCAGTATTACGAAGGGCTGTGCAGTAAGCACCTGTGGATATACACCTCCATCACCCCGATTCTCTCCTTAGGATAGATTTCCAAGAAGGAGACAACTGTCCAAAGGCCAGGCACGAAACGCTGAGATGCTCACTCCTAGGTCTCGTGATGCATGGTGATGGTTCCTGCTCCAAAACGCTTTTGCAGGTTTTCCCCTCAGGAGTTTGAGTGAGGCTGCAGCACCTGCTCTCTCCTGGCTTGACAAGGAGCCTCCACCTGAGCCTCCTGGCTTTTTGTTTCCCCTTCTGCATCCTGCAGCCTTCTTTTGTTTAGGGACAAAGCCTATTTTTAAGTTGTTCACTCCTCTTTTTTATTCACTCAGCGCTTAATTCTCAATCCTCGCTTTATGCAACCTTCCTTCTTTTTTCAGCAGCTACTTGTGAGATATGAATCCCATACCATCAAGTGTACCCATCAGAGTGTGAGATTCAGAGGGATCAACACAGTCCCAGAGTCATGCAGTCATGGCTCGCCACTAATTCGGGAGCAACTTCACGGTCGCCCGAAGGAACCTCACGCCCATTTGCAGCGCAAATGGCAACCAGGAACCTAGGTTTTGCCTCTTCAGCTCTAGATTTGCTTTTGGACATTTTGTAAAAGTGGGGTTGTGCGGCTTGGGACCCTTTGTGTCTGGCTTCTTTCCCTTGGTGTCACGTTTCTGATGCTCACCCTGTCGTATCAGCCTTTTACTTTGTGGCCTTTCTCACGTGGTCACCAAGACACCATGTTGTTTTGCCCTCCTTCTCTGCCTGCCCCCCGCCCCGCAGAGTTTAGCCTGGGGTGAGGCCGGCGAGATGCTTGCTTCAAAGTCAGTGGGGTGCTGAAAACACCATCCTCGAGATAGTTATATATGTTATATTTGATATGTTTGATATGTATCAGTTGTATTCGATGTATCAGTTACATCTGATAGTTATTTTGATTCAAGATTTTAAAAATCAAAATGAATTCCAAAAAAGCCCAAGATTTAAGAACTTCTCATTTTAGATGAAAATGGACCCAGTGGGGCTGGGATTAGGAGACAGGTAAAGTGCATCTTATAACGGGAGAGGTAGATCCTGAGACGAGGTTCCCACAACACACGAGGTGAACACAGCTGTGAGAGTCACCGCCCTTCTCGCTCTGCTCTGCTGCTCCTTTGTCAGACTCCCCCTCCTCAGTCTCTTACACGGTCTTGTACTTGTGGGGTGTGTGAGGGGTGCTGCTTCTTCAAAGAGGACGCCAGTGAGCGAGTAGAGCCAGACCGAAGAGTCACACCTTCCTCTCTCCTGTGGTTTCTTCTCTTAGATTAGAATTCAGTGTCACAGCTCAGGACAGGAAGACCAGATACGAGGCTCGTTTCTGAGTCTTTCGGTGTAGACGGTGTGATCAAACAATGTGGTGAATGTTTACATTTAAAAAGGATTTATTGCAGTGAAAGACACACTCCCATTAATCCCCTTTAAAATATTTCCCTTCATTGCAAACACACTCATTCCATTGCTCGTGACGCTTTCTGCCGCAGCTCTGGACGTCCTCTTTCATCAGCGCCCACGTGCTTTCGGGTCGGCCTCCATGGCCTAAAGCAACTCAAAACTTTGTGGCAATTTCTGTCAAATAAAAACACTACAGTGCGTCCTCGTCTGCCTTTACTCACTGAATCTGGTCCCACACAACTTCTAGCTCTTCCCCAAAGTCAAAAACACCACGAAAGGGAAATGTTTTGAATGGGTTCAGGACACCATGGCAGCCACTATTTGAGACACTCAGGAAAGAGGGCTTCTAGAACTGCTGCAGAGAGTGGCAAGATCAATGGATAAATGTGCTTGATATGAGAGGGGGATTTGAGGGGGATTAAGGGCTGTGCGTCTTTTCTTGTAATAAAATTTATTTTATTCATCCACCACACTGTCAGATCCCACCTTGCACACTGTGGCTCACACCAAGGACATGGAGGATGTCTGCTTCATGTCCAAAGAGAGCCAAGAATCCTGCATCACGCAGAGAAAACACAGGATGGACGAATATTTTCCAAAGGGGCCAGATGGGTAATATTTTCAGCTTTGCAGACCACACAATTTCTGTTGCTGTCACAGCTCTGCAAATATAGCAAGGAAAAGCCATAGACATCACATGAATGGATGAGTGACTGTGTTCCAATAAAACTTTATTTACAAAATCAGGAAGTGGGCCCATTGGCTTAGGGTGAAAGTTTGCTGCCTCCTGCCTTAGGAGGTCTGTGTCAGCTCACTGAATCTGTGACCCAACCCTTCTGCGGAAATGCCTGGAATGTCCCTCAGAGAAGTTCTTACAAGAACTGCCTTACTAAGAACTTTTCCAGATAGGGAGGGTGCTGCACATACTTAACAGCACCCAGCAGCACACCCTCACGTGCAGACACTCACAGCTTTTCTGACGATGAGCGGGGTGAGTGAATGGGTGATGGATGGATGGCTGTTCATTAGTGACAAAGAGCAGGTGGTACAGCAAGACATGAGGGAACCAGGAGTCAGGCAAGAGCCATTTCCTCCCAGACTCTCACTTTCCCACATTGGCCATACTTTCTTCTTCCTCTCATCCTCTTCCTCTCCCTCTGTCTCCATGAAAGCTACCCACACATACCCTCAACACTCCAGCAGGTGCTCGATGGCACTTAGCTAGCTTGTCCTCCTCATCATCACTTGCTTCCTGCTCCTCGATCCTCATTTCCAAGGTGTCTTAACTCAGAAGTTGTCTCGTTAGTCCTGGCTTTGGTTTGGATCTTGAATGTCCATCAATGCTCATGGGTTAAGGCTTGGCCCTCAAGATTGTGCCATTGGAAGTCTGCAGAAATTTTGGGATGTGGAGCCTACTAGGAGGTCTTTAGGCCAGTCATGGACATGCTCTTGAAGGGGACTGTGGGACCCCAGTCTCTTCATTGTTCTCCCCTTTTTGCATCCTGTCCACATGGACATATGCTGCAATCACTGTGTACTGTGCTACCACAGGCCCAAAAGCAATGGTGCCAACCAACCATGGACTGAAACCTCTAAAGCTGTAAGCCAAAATAACCCTTTCTATAAATTGTTTATCTCGGTGATGTGTTCAGTAACAGAAAGGCTACTTATAGCCCTCTGTAACCTTACTGGTCCAGGCCCTGTCCTCTCCTCACTGGATAGCAGTCTCCTGGTCTCCTAGGGACCAGTGTCCATCTGCCAGTCGATTTTCCATGCATCCCTGGTGCAGTTTTTCTCAGAGGCAGATAATGATAATGATACTTCACCTCTCTGCTCAAAAGCCTTACCTGCTATAGTGTTCAGATTTGGATGTCCCTTCAAAGCCTCATGTGCTCAGAGGTGGGGCTTTGCAAAGCTAAATATGCTATTAGGAGGTGGGGCCTGGTGAGACCTAGGCAGCCACTGGGGATATGACCTGGAAGGGTTCATCTCCCTTCCCAGCTCCTCTCTTCACTCACTACTTCCTGGCTACCATGAGGTGAGCGGCTTTCCTCCACCAAACCCCTCTGTCATGTTGTCTCCTGAAACTGGCCAACCATGCAAGCAATGAAAGTTCTAAAGCCTGAGCCACACTAAGCCGCTCCTCCTTTAAGTTGCTGGCATCAGGGATTGTTCCCCACTCCTGCCCCACAGCTGCTCCAGCCCTTAGTCTGAACTTTCCCGTGCAGCCTCTGGGGCAGCTCCGGGTGGAATTTGCAAGAGCTCTGTGGTCTAGATAACATCATTCCAGCCCCTGTGCTAGGCCTGGAGCCAATGTCAGCCAAGGGGAACCAAGTACATGAATGGCCACCAGCTTCTGTTTTCAGGAATTGATATCAATCAGCACTTACCTGGTATTGTTTTAGCAACACTTCAGAACCCATTAGTGAGTAATGCCGGGCCAAGTGGCCAGAAAGGAACCTGTGCCTGGTCGTGTTGTGAAGTAACCTGCTTTCTGGGGCCACTCCTCACCTCCCATGGAGAAAGCCCACCTCTGCCGCCTGCCTGGGCAAGTGCTGTCTGCCTGAGCTCAGTTACTCCTGAGATACTGAACAAAGAGCATTCAGAGAGGTCTGATAACTTGCCTGAGGCCACACGGTCAGGAATCAGGTTGGAAGTGTGGCTGCCTTGTGGCCCTATGCCCTCCATCCTTTCACATTCCCAGCTGCCCCAAGACACAGAAGAAACTGAAATGCACCTGCTGAGCTCTCCACTGCCAGCTGCACCCACAGAGCTAGAAGTTCTTCTCAATTTCAGGGAATTCTATTGTTATGAGCTAAGGGGTGGGGGACACTGGGGCTCTTCTAGACCAGCCAAGCTCCTGTGAGAATCTGGGGAGGAGTAACATGAAACCTCGGGCCAGCATCCCCAGAGTCCACTGATCGGGTCCAGAAACTTCCGAAGCTTTCTACACAGCAAGCATCTTGCAGAACTGATGGTGTCCACTGTTTACCATCACCTTTCTGGCAGTGAGAAGAAAGTCAAGTTGTCTCACCTTTTTGACATGAGTGGAAGGGAGCCAAGACCCCTTCCTAGCAGCACTTACTGAGAGCACTGTGCTTGGTGGTATCAGGGACTCTGACTTTCTAGCCAGGCATCATGTGCTGGAGAATTGAAGGACTGGCTGTCTTCTCTCCCTCAGGTCTCAGCCCCTTGGTCTACATTCCTAGTCTCATTCACCAAGGTAACACTCAGC